TCAGTTATCAACCTTACGCTAAAGGTCATGATGATACTGAACTTCATTTCTTTCTATAGGTTTCCTGTTTGACGTCTTGCTAATTTGACAAGCTATTTACTATAAAAAACTTAAATAAGGCGTAAGCAACACTCGCATCGGACCGCCGGAATTGAATAAACCGCTGTAACTTAGTAAATAACAAAAGGTTAGGAATAGAGTCACAAAGGTTGATCCTGAGTCCGGTCCAATCCAGATTTTGTCAACGGTCCTTTAAATTTAAACCCGAAGCTATTGCGAATAGTTCTGTTGGTCCTCTGTATTCTACACTAAGCCTTAACAAACACAGAAATACTCAAATATAAACCGTAGCCCATTGCTAACGATGCTGAATCACTTCCTACGATTTTTGTACTAAATCTTAACTCTTCGCGTACAAATCTAAAGCTATTGCCTATAACTCAATAAAAGACACACATGTACGATTAGAAATAGTATTACAGGGGTTTAACCCATCCGGTCCGATCCAGGTTTTGTCATCGGCCCTTTAAATATAAATTTAAAGCTATTGCTTATGAAACTGGACGTTAGTTCTGTTTTTCTATCCTACTTGCTAATACTAAGCCTTGAACTAACAGTGAAGGTTTAAACGTACTGTTGATGGCATACTTTTCGAAGCTTTTCCATTTTTCAGGGTTTTTTTCTCACAGCGTGTTGTTCAATCCACCTCCTGTCACTGTCAGCGGCAATAAGAGATTGGCTGCTCACGTAACACTTCTGGATACTACAGCCATCATCAATGTTGAGGCTCCAAACTCTAAAGACTAAACACCAACAACCATTTCGCAGTAAGTAAGACCTAAGACACTACCATAACCATCAATAATAAAAAAAAGGAAAAACTTATTGAGTTCTACTTACCACACACAAAAAGATCCACCACTAGAAAATATAAAATATAAAACGGTGTTGAGCAGAATAGACAGAGGTATATAAAAATTCGTAATTAAAAGATACATTCTAAAAGTACAAAAGAATATCAAGAACATCTACAATAATTGTGAGAGATTGTTAGCAGTAACAGTTCTGTTCAGTTCAGTTTAACTGAGTCAGCTGCCACTACAGTGTTTCCGATAAATAAGTTTCGATGAACATACCAGGGGTGAATTTAGTAAATAAAGCAAGTGGAGTGTGCTTTATGCCCTATTCACTCCAACAAAACTTGTTTAATTATACCAGGTCTAACAATCATATCTCAGTAGGGTTCAAGAAAGCTTAAACTTGTGCGTTAAATTCTGCAAACTTAAGGCGACAAACACCAATACATATACACAGCCTTTAAGAGGAAAAAAAGCCAAGGCGATAAATTAAACATGTTTAGTTTTGGTGCGAAAGAAGCGTAAGAGTTTTGGAGGTTATCATTAGATCCTACAATCGTGTAGTCAAAAGCAATGCTAAATATCATTAAGAACCTTAGTGGCAAATTAGCATGGGTTAACCGATTTCGGTTTCTCAACGGCGCTTCTTTCCGAGCCTAGAATTAACTTTAAGTAACGTAAAAATCCCGTATTATAATCACGGTTATATGCCTACCCGTTTGCTACCAAAATAAGGTTCTGGTTACACGCTGTTTCCTTCTCATTGATAAGCACATAACGGTTCCTCCGCAGCAATTTTTTGCAACGAAAGACCACTGAATTTACTAAAACGTTTTACAATCACAGTTGGAACGGGAGAGAATAGAGAACCTTGTACTCACAATTTGTTGCCAGGTCGACGCACTGTGGCACAACCTTTGTCTGCAAGTGTTGAGCTTTCGGAAACTGCAAAACATTAAAATACGATGAATAAGTTATTTAGTTGACAGATTGAAAATTGATCTCCAAATTAATAGTAACTATCGAAACAATAAAGGCCACTTATTCAGACTGCTTCAGTGAAATCTTCCTGGATACTATGGATGGGAAAAACTGAATGCAAAAACCAAAAGCAATCGATAATACCGCTTAATTTACGCATGCAATTAGAAAATGTCTGCTTATGTAAGGATCTGAACTCCCAAAATAAAACTGAATGTGCATACATTAGTGGTCTCAGATAACAAAGTACGAACCCTTATTACATCCCTATTAATTAAACAAGATCTACATAATCTACCAAATGTGCAAGACTATTTGAAAACTGAGAAGAAAGCTATTGGCAAAGTTTTTAAAGATTAAGTTTTCTGGAGCTGACATATCTCGCTTAATGGAGAAGGAAATACAGTCGAACCTATGTTAACCCTGTATAAGCCCCATTAGTAAAATTCAACTAGTCGTCTACTATCAATGCTGCGTTTTGATTGGTTAAGCTACTACTAGGCTATATGTTATAGCCCACTAGTAGCGAAAAACCAAAACCAAAACAATGGTGGCTGAATCGTGTGTTTGCTAGCTAAAGTTGTTTTGTCTCGATATTTTTGACAACTAGTTGGATTTTACTTAAACAATTATTCCTCTCGCCCTCATGGCCTCTGAGTCAATAGCCCATTCAGCCTTCGGCCCATTCGGGCTCGAGGAATAATTGTTAAATATCGCGACATACAGATTCTCCATAAATTTCCTTAAAGAATTGGTTGAGAATTTGGTTTAAGATCAAAGCATTTTCTCTTAGATGATCATTTCATTCATCAATTCTCATAACGTTTTCTCATGATGATGTATGATATTGTCAGGGGAAAATTGAGGTTGGTCACCCTTGGGACTTGAAGGGTTAAGCGGTCAGCGGCCAGCCTCGAGGAAGGGACAAGTGGCCGCTTAATAAAGGTACTTTTTCAGTGATTTACTGACAGCTTTGTCTCCAGGGAATCTAGTAACAGGCCGCTAAATAGAGTGGCTGCTTAATAAAGGTCCTTTTTTACAGTGATTTACTGACAGCTTTGTCCGCTGGGAATCTAGTAACAGCACCTTAAATAGAGCGGCTGCTTAATAAAGGTACTTTTCACAGTGATTTACTGACAGCTTTGTTTGCAGGGAATCTTGTAACAGGCCGCTAAAAAGAGTGGCTGCTTAATAGAGGTTCGACCCTACTAATATCTACAAACTGCACTATCCTTCACACAAGTTCCTCTTTGGAAACTAATATTGCCAATTTAATGTAGGTGTGATCTGTCGACGCTAAGTAAACTTAGCAATTCTTCGACTTACGATACGGAAAAAAAACGCATCGTTCACCTTTTTTTACTTTGTCTCGCGGCAGTTTTACTTGGATAACTGCGCACATACATTCGGAGTCCTCAAGGCCAATAGCGATCAAACCCTTTTGTGGACAGGAGGCCAGACACCGGGACGGCTCAAAATCTATATCAAGTACAGTTAGGAAATCCCCAGTGTTAACATTGAACAACTGAAGACAATAACTCCCTGAAGTCTTCTTGCAGATGATAACACAATCCGTCTTACTTACAAAGGCACAGTCAAGAATACTGTCAACGATGCATAGCGTCCGGAGATACTTTCCTGATGATGCTTGAAGCACAAGTACTTCTTTCTTGAACTGAGAGTGTGTAGAAAAGACAAGAACAAACTCCTCTGTTGGAGAAAACATCACATGTGGGTACCAGCTACCAAACAAAAGTCGACATTTCAGAGTTCTCTCCCATATTTCATTTTTGCCTTCTGACAGCTGAACTGAGCTACAAGTGGTGGATAGCAGCTGATATTTACTATTAAATACTACGGATTTCATATGAAGCGAATGAGATGTTGACTGGAAACCCTCATGACAAAGTGGGATGGTCTTCACTATGTTTCCATTTGATGTGTCCAGAATGCTTACAAAATCTCTCCCCACACACGCTACACATTGGTCTGAAACTGTCATTATATCCCTAACCTCGGCTAAATTAGGCCAACTTCGGCTTTGTTGTGACAACTGAAAATTCCATAGCTGAACATCCGCCCCAGGTTCACTTTGTTTCAAAAGGACACCTTCTGACACAGGTACAAGTAAAACATCACGTGTACGTATCACTTTCTCTGCTTTACGATCTCCACTTTGGTATCTTTGGATGTGTAGTTTACTCCTTAATGGTCCTCTGTTTCACTTGTTAAAACCTAGCCTTAGAACGCTTAACTAAAACTACCCTTACAACTAACAACGCCTCACATCTTAAGCAATTGATTATGATAAAGTGCATTAGTTCCAGGGCTTTTCTATGCCACTTGCTAAGAGTGATTTAATGACGCTAACAGAAAACCCTACACGTAAATGGTTTCCATTGTATAAGTTTCGAACCATCCGTTTATGAGGTTTTCACGTCGCATTGTTCACACCGTCTCTTGGCTTTGGAAGATGCAGATCAAGCTTCAGATCCATCATTGTGGAACACTCAAGGCCTGTAAGATTAAAAACAAAACAAAGAAAGGACAACCATGAGACACAAAACGTTCCTGCGAGTTTTTTGAACGGCTTTAAAATCTCTGATATAGATAAACTCATTCTTGCACTAATATTAAGATTTGGGGTTATTAGTCTATAAGAAATTGGACGCAAAGTTTAGCCGTGTCTTTATCAGGTATAAGGACACTCATTAAACGTTAACTTCTTTTGGTTTTCCTTTATGAATTATCAATGAGTTTTTGAAGTTGCATCTTTAACTTCGATTGTCTTCCTTGCATTATCCCTTCATCCCGCACTTCCAACATATGAAATTCATATAACTGTGAAAGGTTTGAACCCAGGAGTCATTTCAAAAGTAGGTTGAGTTTGATCGTCCGGGTGAACGGATCAACCCCGGGTCAACCTACTTTTGAAATTCATATATTCATTAATGTTGCACTCATAAATAAACTGTCAAAATAATACAGCCTAACAGCTGAGCCTCTGTCGCCAGCAAGAAAGAACGCTATACGATGCTTAGTACCGTAAACCCATAGAGTAACAAGCAAAGTGTACTTTCCCAAAATTTGTTTGACGTTGTTGGATACATAAAGTACAAACAAACCTTCACTGATTTTCGCGACATAATTCTTAAGAACGAACGCATTTCTCACCTTTGCTTTCCTGTTGACTTTGTCTCGCGGCAGTTTTACCTCGATAAATGCACACATACGTTTGGAGTTCCAGAGGCCAAAGGCGATCAATCCCTTTTGAGGGAAGGAGGCCAAACAGGAAGGCCATGTATCCATATTAAGTACGCTAAGCAAATCTCCAGTCTTAACATTAAATAACCGAAGACAAGAACTTTCTGAGCTATCCTGGCAGTCGATTACACATTCCGCGTCACTAACAAACGCACAGTTCGTCACGTGATCGACTGTGCAAAGGGTGCAGAGAGTGGCCCCTGAAGACGCATCAAGCACGTGTACTTCTTGCTTACACTGACGGGATTTTGCTGAGATTAGGACAAAGTTTTCTTTTGGAGAAAACATGCCAGGGACATTCCACGAGTACAACAGAGAATCTTTAAAAACCCTCTTCCACAGACTACCTCTGTCATCTGACAGCTGAACTGAGTCACGAGCGGTGGATAACAGCTGAAATTTACTGTTACATTCTATGGCTTCTTTATACATAATTGGACATGTTGACTCATATCCCTCATGACAAAGTGAGATGGTCTTCACTATGTCTCCACTTAATGTGTCCAGGACGCTCACTTCAAACCTTCTGCCCACACATGCTACACATTGGTCCGTGACTGGCATCATATACGTAACCTCGCATAGACTGGGCCAACTTCGGACTTGTTGAGACAACTCAAAACTCCATAGCTGAACAGCAGTCCTACGATGACGTTGTTTCAAAAGGACACCATTGGCCATTGTCACAAGACAAATACCATTGTCAGAGTAGTTTACGGTCGTAAAAGGCTGTATAGGATAATGGACATCACGAGAAGTACTAATCTCTATCTTTGCTGTAAGTTTTCCACTTGCTACATCAAAAGCTACCACTGCTGCTTCCTCGTCTTCAGTTACACCATAAACGGACTTCCCATCTACAGCAAAAGCAACATGACGGAGTCTTCTATAGGACGTGGTTGTTGCAATCTTCATTTCACCAGGATTGAACATGGCAATGCGGTTGTTTCCAGGGAATACCCTCAATACACTTTGTCTGTTCAAGACAAACGCAAACGCTCCTTCTACAAGAACCCAAAGGGGTACCAAAAAGTCCTCGAGACGCCTGAACGAACATGATACAGGATCTCCCATCAAGAATCCAGCTTTGCTGGATGATTCATAATCCCCAGGTTCATAGTCAACGTTATCGTTAACAACATCCAAGGAAAAAGTGCCACAAGGCAAGTTATTGATGTTCACGCGAATGCCTTTTGGGTATCTCTCCCACATAGACTTTACTGGTTTACACCAACAAAACAGGAATTTGAGGTTGGGGGCAAACTTGATCATTCCACACGGTAAAAAAGTGGTGATCTCTGCAAGTGTCTCAAAGCAATTCAATGCATCAACCAGACAAACCAGTCCCGAAAGATGAGAAATTGCTAGTAGCTTTCTATCTGGAGACCAGGCAAAAGACAATACAATCTCATCTCTCTCAGTTCGAGTGATCTCTTCGCCATTTGTTAGACTCCACATGACTAGGCGTTTTGCATCACTAGGGACATCAGTAATCATACTATCCCCATTAACTGAACAAACGGTAAATTTGCAGTTGCTATTAGGGAACAGTGGAAGGAAAGCTCCGTCAATTGAGTAGGCATGGCTTAGGATTCCAGGAAGAACAATGGACTCAGTAGGGTGAAAAACAACGGAGCGATAACATGACAAAACAGATGATTCGGGTACCACTCTGAACGCGTCAAGATCATCAACGTAACGTTTACCGAACTTGACCGGACGTTTCCATATTTGCTTCCCTGTCTGTACTGACCATAGTTGAATCGTCCCGTCCCTACATTCACACACCATGAACTCCTGCTGAGGTGAAATATCAAAACAAGCCACTCGAGAGTTGCAGCGAAACAAAGCCTGAACCTCCATTTCCTCTTCCATAGACCCCTTGTGAACGTACTTCATGTACGGTATATCATGATATTTGGTCTGCAAAAGTTCTGTCGCTTTACCAGCAAAATCGTCTCCTCCTTCGTTCATTATCACTTGGAAAAAAGAAGTGGGATTCGTCGTAAGTCTTTCATGGTACTTTCTTAAAAGAAACAACAACGTGCCAAGGGCGTTTTGTCTCTCACTGCTCAATAACTGAAAAGCTTCTTGTTTCTGAGTGAGGACAATGTCCTCAGAACTAGCCGTGTCGTTTACACATAGTTTTGCATACACAATGTCTAAGTCCGTGACATAGTTGTTAACGATTTCTTCAAAGCTTCTTGTACTCTCTTCCAGCTCTTCCGACTCGAGCATATGACAAACACCATGCTGTAGGGCGTACCTCGCAGTGTGACTGAATTCAGTGCCGTGAACGCCTTTTCTTTTCACATTATTCAGTTCATTAGTACAGAGCTGGGAAAGCATGACATGACCTTGCTTTTCAAAAACAGAGAAGTTGTGGCGCCCGTAGGCAGTTCTGTCAGTCAACCAATCCTTAACTGATTTGTGGAAGAACACAACGCAGTCATCATGAACAGGAAGAAGGGTTGAGATAGATTCGATAGCTTTTCTTACTTTTCGATGACTAGATGGGGACTTCGAGTCCGAAATCAACATCTTAGAAACAAAGTCTAGAGGAAGTGGTTCTCTTGCAGCCGCCAGAGCACTTAGAAAAGTCAAAAACTGGTCCTCACCAATTTTCAATTCGTTCTCTAAACGTTCAAAGTAGGACTGATAAACAGACGATACACCTGAAGGTAAGATTCTTCCTAACTCCTCGGGAGTAAGGAGTAAAACGTTTTTCTTGATAAAATCGACCATCAAATAAGCATATAAAAAATGCCCTGCAGCCTCTCGGACCAGTGCATCGATAACAACATCTACAGAGCCCGACTGAATAACGCTGCATAACTGTTTTTCAAGGAAGAGTCTGATGTCTTTCACGTTTTCTTCATCATCTTGCTCCAGTAGAACAGGGTTGAACTTTTTAAGACGGTCTGCGATATTTATTTCCGGTCGAGTTGTAACACAAAATCGAACCCAACCAGGAAGTGTACTAAAGTGATTAGCAATGACATCAAGCAGCTCATTGCGACCTTTGTATTCACTTTCATCCAGGCCATCAATCACCATGAGCAAGCTTCTTCCCGGATCATCTACTTTTATTAAAGGCTCCTCGAACAGCAATTCAAAGAGCTCTCCAACCTCAAGGTTGTTGATGTCTTCACCCAAGTTACCTGACAGTGCTTTTACAAGTTTTCTTTTATACTGTGGCAAACGCTCACTCAGCTGATAAGCTAACGATTGAAGCATTATCTTAGGATTTCTTTGACGCGCCTTGTTGTGCTGACAAAAGTGACTTCCCGACAGTCGACCAGCGTGTTGCATTCTTTGACAAACGACAGCGGAAATCACTGATTTGCCCATTCCCGCATCTCCACTGATTACCATCACACGATTTTCAGATGTACGGTCGTCAAGCCACAACTTGATCTTCTCAAAGATGTGCAAGCGCGTTTCCTCCTGGTATTTCCCAGAGTGATACTGGATGACTCTCTCGGTATTAACTTTTGCTAATTTTCTCAGAGCTTCATCCTCTTCAGCTTTATCGCTTTTTTCTCCAGTGTTTGCAACCTCGTACACTACCTGCCGCGGCGATTCTTGTTGGGTTTTCCGAACTTCCTGTAACATCTGTATAGACCGCTGTACACCTTCAACTGCTTGGCGCGTGTCCTGAAGAATTCTGTGGTCCTCTTGTTGCAATTTCACTGCCTCGTTTTGCATCTGTTTTAAATTGCCAACTGTCTGGTGTGTATCTTGAAGAGTTCTGTGGCCCTCTTGTTGTAATTTGTAAGCTTCAAATTGAGTCTGTTCTACTTTACACAATGTTTGGTGAGTATCTTGAAGAGTTCTGTGGTCCTCTTGTTGCAATTTGCTGGTTTCTACTTGTGTCTGTTGTACTTTTCCAACAATTTGGTGGGTGTCATTAAGAGTTCTGTGATCTTGCTGTTGGGTTTGGAGCACTTGTTGTTGTTTTGTAAGTAGATCTTTCAGCCGGAATTGGATCTCCTCGTCATTTTTCATCCATTCAGTAACAGCGCTGATATAATCCTGCCCACAAGGTTCTCTCTTTAACCTGTCCACCTCAGACTGACTTAAACCAAGCGAAACAAGAACGCAACTCATTTCCTGCCATTTCACATCGAACACTGATGTTTGAATGCCAGTTGTTGTCACATGACCATAGAGCTCGTTTCGATAATACTTCATGCGAGCAAGGTTAGCCTCTCTAGAGGTGTCACTCGCGGGGGGCATTCTGTCCCAGCCTGAAAGGGGAGGGGATAGGCTGCAAATGTTCCTCAGCAAGAGGAACAGAAGAGTGATATCAAAGTTAATAGAGTTTGGTGTCCCTCCACCTGGTGGTGGAAACAGTTTGTCCCACTGAACACCATTCAGAATGTTTCTTTTCCGAAGTTTAGTAAGAATGGAATGAATATGTTTGGAACTAAGATTAGCAGCCAAGTTGGCAGTTGGGTGATAGTGATCGAAAACATTCCTCAGTACTGTAGTTCCGCCATCGATGAGAAGCCTACTTAGCTTGTTTCCATTTGTCTTCTCAACAGAGCTGGCCAGGGGTGACGGTGCTGCAGTTGCCATAGAAGCCAGAGAAGGAAATATCCACCACCTTTTAAATCTGTGTAGAAAATTGCAGTAATCTTTTTCGCATTTTTAAGGTATTTTGAAAGAACTGACTAGTTGTGTACCTTGACACCAAGGTTATTAAGATATTCAGAAGGTCTCATAACATAAACATTTTAGATTGAACGGCTTTTGCATAATAGGCCTTTTTCCAAAGGTAAAGAAACAAACAAACAAACAATACTCTTTGTTTTCCCTCAAAAACTTTACATAAGCATGCATTTTGTATAAGGAAGATTGTAAGTCCAAGAGAAATTTGAAAGACACTGCTTATGCAAAATTTTGGGATTGTATTATGACTATAAATTATGGTAGTTTTGAATCATAAGGCCTATATTACAGTGCACATTTTCATCATCATGCAAATTTATATGTGTTATTAATATATTTGGTCTTTCATCTTCATCCTTCACGAGTTTGCAACAAAATGACTAAATGACAAGCTCCGCTCCCGGTTTGCTTGAAAGCTCAATTGGGGAGAAAAAATATCTTAGTAAAAAACATTGTAATTCTGACAAAATCTTCAGATCCAAGTTAAAATACAAAACAGTAAAGGGGTCATTGACAGTATAACAGTCAAGGGTACCTGAGAAGTAAATCCTGTCAAAAGTTTAAAACTTGGTGGACAGTTCTTCAAGCACTAATGATGTGCACACTAAAAAAGGAATTAAAAATGTTAATTAGAATTTAAGAAGCTTAAGTCAAATTTTGGTGGGGATATATTATGCACTTGTCATTTCCCTGAGACAAGTTTAGCCACAGGCTGTAGCATGACTCATTGCAAATTGCAGAACCTATTATATTTCATTAAATAATGCTTACAAAAGGAAAAATAATGTAGTGAAAAAAGAACATCTTCCCATGATGCCAAGATAGCACACAAAACAAAATGAAAATTATGATACCATAAACAGAAACCTGGGCAAAATATGAAGTTTATTTACTTGCCCTGAAGTCCTATTTCCCACCCCCCGCCCCCCACTTCCTCTGGGGAGTCCTGTGAGTCATCTCCATGATTTCACTACTTCTCCCCTCTCCCATGCCCTACAACTCCCCCTCCTCCACCCCCCCAACTACCACTTTCACTCCCACAACCCTTCTCTCCCCCCTTCATTTACCACCAGAGGGCCAGTATCACTAACCCTCCCTTAAACTACAATGCCACTGCCACTCCTCCCTCCCTCCTGGTTACCAATAATAATATTACCCTCTCGCCCTCCCTCATTTACCAATTAAGCCTATATACACGTAGGTATTACAGCCCCCCTCTCAGTATAACAGCTGCAACTGCCACTACAACATTGCTGACATTACATTACTACCACCACCTCAGTGTATAAGCAATCTTAAAACATAATAACAATACTGCTGTGTTGTTTCTAATATACGATGAGAAAATTGTGCTCATTGGTGATTAAAAGAACTAGGTCACTAAAAAATAAGTACTGGAAATGCAAGTATAATCCTTAGTTCTCTATAACACATGTATGAGGCCTTTTTAGGGCAAACTCTGACAAGCAACATGGCCTTGAACCAGTGACATAAGACTTGATTGATGAAATGGCAACAAACAGCATAATTTAAGATTACTTAAATACAGTGTAACAACAGTGACGTGGCCTACTCCTCAAAACATGAAATGACCCTATTTGAAATTCTGGCCAGGGACATACATACCCCCTCCCCCACACCCCACCCCTAATAGGGACTCATTATGTACAACTGAAACATCACATTATCAACATTGATTAGATGATTATTTATTAGGCCCAATTTTCATTTGGCAACCTAGATTGGGAATAATGTCAAAAAATAGGGCAAAATTGGAAGCATTTACTGATCCACAAGGAAAGAGGCCAAATATTTAAGGTATCAGTATATAGGCTAATTTCCTATAATTTCTAGCTGCATTGTTCTAATCACATTTTGCACCCCCCCCCCCCCCCCCCCCCCCCCCCCCCATCCTCTCACACTCTCCAATTGTTTAAAACCACCCCCCTTTATTTTTTTTTCGTTTTTTCCACAAAAAAAAAAACAAAAATTTGTTTTAATCTTAATTTGATTTGATACCTATATAATAATGGATATTATTTAGTTTTTTTGTGTTTTTATCTTATTTTTTTTTAGTTTTTTTTTGTTTATATATTTTTATTTT